AAGTAGTTTTGCTACCTTAAAAGCTGAGAAAACCTGTGATTTGACAACTTTCATGGAGACAACAAAACTACTGTCTCAACCTGGGACTGTTACATATATCTAGTTTAGGGGTGTGTTGCACTCAACAATTTTGTAAATTTGTATTGACAGACCATCTTGCTGGTTATGGATCTTGCTGGTTAACCATCTTGATGGTTATGGATGATAACTGGAGAGAAACTTTTTTATTGTCATAATGGAAAAGGTTCACAGACTCCAAGTCCTATATTTATGGTCCCTGAAAGTATCAAATTAGATAAGAAAAGTGCACTATTAAAGTGGTGCATTTAAAAAAAAGATCAGTATATGCTTTGACCTCGAGTGTTTGAGTAGTGCTGCTGCAGAAAACTAGTCTTTATTGTGACCTACAAAAATGCATAGATTTCTATACTTAATGAAGTTCAGCTTCTGAATTTTCCCAATTGTTGATATAGAGCCAGGTCCTTGGAGACAATGCAAACAGAACTAACAGCTTTAATGTAATAAAGTACTTTAGAGAGTGCTTGAATTTAAAATTAAGTGCACTCTGTGCTTTGGAACGTGAGAGCCTTTGGAGGGTTTGAACTACAAACAATGAAAAGGAACAGAATGTGATTTTGTAGTGCACACTGTGGCAGTTCGCAATTCTTTCTGTATTTGTAAACAAACCTTACCTGTCAAGGAAAGTTATGTTACTTTGGAACATGAGATTTGTTCATTGTGAGAGGCCTTCTGGTCTGGGAACCAATTCTTTCTGAAAAATGCCATTAAATCCTGTATTCAAAATAGGCAATCAAAAAGAGCAGACTAAAGAGGCTAGTTCACTACTCATTAGCATAGCATGACGTTGGATAGTTTTCTCTGCAACACTGACTTTCAGTCTCCAGCCACCACATTCAAAGACTATTATACATATTCACCTAGACCACGTCATGCTGAAATGTGTGCTTTTCATTAAACACTATGCATTTTGAAATATGATGTTCTAACGAAGTATAATAAAAAGCAGAAACATTTTGATGATTTTTAGAATTTAAAATCATGTTTCCAGTATACATAGTTTCAACAGCCAATAGTAAGAGCTTTTCAATCCTGCAGGAATTATATGCTCAGAATGATATATTTTTTTTCTTTTCAGAATTTCATCAACAATGAAGTCATAGCTGATTTAGTCCCTTCTATTTCTGAGTGTAAAGAGAAAACAAAATGTTCAAATAATGATCAGAAAATTTGTTAGATTGTAATTCTTGGATACTGATTGGATACTGATTCTAATTCAAGCCATAAGTTACGCAATACCAAATATGAATTGAGCAGCTTAATTTAAAACTTGTAGATATGCAAGCATATGTTCAGAATATATAAGTAGGCACATACATACATACATACAAATTTTTATACATACATCTTTTTTTGTTGCACAGTGTTTTCTTTAGACTTTGAATACTACATTTGTTCACTGAAACTTCTCTGGAGCAGGGTTTAGAATGCACTCTAGGTTTCTTCCTCAACTACCTTAATGGATAGGAGATACTTTGCCAGTCTGATAGTATCTAATTACAAAGCCAAGAGGTGCATATTTCAGTAGAACACTCTGAGATGTTGAAAGATGATATTCTGAGACAGAGAAGGGCATATCAGCCATTGATTTAGGTCAAAGAAACAATTCACTGCAGCATGAATAATGTTAGTTGAATGTTATATTTGAATATAGTAAAAGCCTTTAAAAATCTCATATATAATAAAGGTTAGCATTGAAATTTAGCTTTTGCCAGAATATTACTGTAGTCCATTAATCCTAACAGAAAAACATTCTGTTTTTGCTAGAATACAGTTGCTCCTATAATGCAAAATACAATTTTGTTGTTGTTGTTGTTTGCTTGTTTGTTTGCTAGTTTGTTTTTCATATGTTATTGGAAACAAGTACATTAAAAGTGCAAATTTTCAGGTGACACCAGCATTGAAATTAATTCTTTATGAGCATGAATGTAAATAGATATTCTTTTCACACCAATGAGAGTAAAACATGCATTCAGACCTCTGTCCAGAGGGAGAATTAGAAAGGTTTATTATTTACTACATTTATTTTCACTGTTTTCTTTTATGTCATATTTTTAATATTATTATTTATACATTTAGTTGTATGATTCTTAATTTCCCATTATGACAATTAGTGCTTTTCTTTGTTTTTTTTTTATTTTTTTTATTTTTATTTATTTGTTTATTTATTTATTTTTATTTTTATTTTTTTTATTTGTTTGTTTGCTTTTGTTATTGTGGGTATTCATTTTAATTTCCTTTCCTTCCTTCCTTCCTTCCTTCCTTCCTTCCTTCCTTCCTTCCTTCCTTCCTTCCTTCCTTCCTTCCTTCCTTCCTTCCTTCCCTTCTTTCCTTTCTCTCTCTCTCTTTCTCTCTTAATGAAAAAAGGGCAGCTGTTCCTGAGTCACTGAGAATAGCATCTGTGCCAAGAAGCCATGCAGATCATGCGGTTGTTGCTTCCTGCTGGATGGTCCCAAGCAAAATACAAGCTGTTCATACTGATACAATAAAATAGACGGTGACTTTGAATGCTTGCGTGGAAGTTGACAGCACTGTGCTGATAACCTGTGAGCTGTAAATGGTATAGAATACTGTTGACAAAACATTTTTTTTTTTCCCTCTGAAGCCTTCAATCCCTTGATAGTATTTCTACATGGATACTTTCTTTGGAATATGTTCTTTGGCTTGTGTGTTTGGAAATTTCTGAATTTGACACAAAAGTTGCTCCCTCTGACCAGAGGATTTTCACAGCCTTCAGGTTTCAGTGAGAATCTCACAGGTGTGAGAAAACAGTCAGTGTATCTATGTCACTCCAAACCTTTTGGTTTATGCATCTGTCCAACTCTCACAGCCTAAAGAAAGTTTTATCCTGGTCATTAACCAGAGAATTGTCTTCTTTTTAAATACAGCTAAAATTTTTTGTGCAAGTATGAGTCATATAGGATTATTTTAACTTGGATTCTTTACACGAAATTGTAAATATTCATGCCACTTATTTTTTTTAGTTTATTTTTGCTTCAGTTCCAGCCTAGCAATGAAAAGCAGAGTGTTATAATATCATTCTGCTGATTTACTTTCAAGAGCATATTCTATCAAATAAATATTACAGGCTGCAACTACTGAAATGGTTAACAAAATACAAATGAACATAAATTATCATTAAGAAAGTAACTCGTAAATCTCTCTAATTTTCTTTGCCTCTCTTTTTATAGTGTGGTTCAGGGCAGGTGACAGGAATGAGTTTTCCTGATATGATAAAGTCCTGCCTAGGAAAAGTTTTGCATGTTTATAGCACAGAAAACAAGATGTTTATTAAAATTTTCCTAAATGATTATTTATTTAATGCCCTTGTATTTCTTTGTAGTGAAAACTAGGGTTTTTCTTCACTGTTCCACACTGGGGAAAAATAAAAGGATAAGCATAAAAGTGACTCTGTGTACACACCTTGCACTTGATATCTTTCCAGATCACTTTACAACTTTCCATTTTTTCCATGTCTTCAACTGCTTATTTGTATTCTGCAGGGACACCACAGCCCCGATGGTTTGCTAGATAATGACAGTCTGTAGCTACCCTGTCAGCCCTGCTGTCTGGGAACAAACAGCACTAGAGATTACCGCTATGGAGGAGCATGAATTTCCAACCCTTTGAATAGTTTTGCACTCCAAAATGAAGTTTCACTCAGAAGAGTGAGAGCATATGAAAATACCTTTTGAAAGAATACTGTAAGACCTCCTTTTGGTTACTTCTGAAAAGGATGAAATAATTTTTGGTGGTCTATGTGGAGTACTTTTCCTTTAAGCAGAGGAAAAGCTAATTCTCTCACTTGGAATGTGTGAATAATATGTTGAAGAAGAGTCAGTTCTGCAGGAGAGATATAACAGATTTTAGCTAGAAAATAGGATAGTGAAAAGTAGCTTTCTATTTATAAACTTATTTCCTAAAGGAAATTAATGCTGACCTATCATAACAAGCCTCTTTTCTGAGATGGGAGATGGGAAATAGGTAAACTGCAGGCAGAGTCATAGAATTATTAAAGTTGGAAAAGACCTCTAAGATCATCTAGCACAACTGTCCACCTATTACCAAAATTGCCCACTAAATTGCATATGGTGGCAGTTATAATTCTAGTGATCTATAAGTGATCTTGAAAATTCATATCCCTGCAGCATTTACATTCCTCAAATATCTTCATCGACGAAAGGAAAAATGAACTATAAAAATTATTTTAAGTAACTGTGGAAAAACGTCAAGCCTGCATTGTAACTTACTATGCCCAATGGAATTGAACACTGAATATGCATAAGAAGCACTTTCTTTAGTGCTGGTTGGATTTTATAGTGTTTTGACTGGATGCCTCACTAAAAATTAGGGATATATCTGTCACTTCTGCAATCATGATTTAGTTCAGCATAGAGAGCTAAAATAGGTCAGTGTTGACTCAAGTTTGTTACAAAGTTTCTAGCTCCTTCAAGCTCTTTTCCTTGCCTAAAGGAGACTGTTAATACCTGAACTAGCAGCTCGGATTTAGCCTGGCATTAGCAGATCAGTTTGTACAAACAAACAGGACTAACAGTTTTAACAGAATCAGACAGCTCTAAAAACAGTGTTTCTGTTGCATCTTTGAAGAATTTGTGCTTTTGCAAATGAAAATAAACTAACTCAAAGCATCTTTCAGGTTGGGGAATGTGGGTGAATCTGTGCATGCCACAACAGCAAAAGGGCTATTACTTATTAACATCTGGAATCTCATCAGGATCTAAAATATGTCTGTTTATTGACAATATTGACAACGTTATGTTGATAAACAGTTTAAATTTTTTTGTGGTTAAATAATGTTTTTAATGATATTCCTCAATATTTGCATGCTATTACAGCAGACAGGGAAATAGACTGTTAACGTTTCATGAACTGCAATGGGAACTAATTTTATTTCTTTCCAGGTGTCTACAGAGCCAGAATTTGGCCGCATAGTAATTTATACCACCAGCCTTCGTGTGGTGAGGACCACTTTTGAAAGATGTGAACTGGTTAGAAAGATATTTCAAAACCACAGAGTTAAATTTGAAGAAAAAAATATTGCTCTGAACAGCGATTATGGAAAAGAACTTGATGAGAGATGCAGGAGGGTGTGTGAAGCCCCATCCCTCCCAGTTGTGTTTATTGATGGCCATTACCTTGGGGTAAGTAAAGCATGAATCAATGAAGTCTATAAGAACAAATGTAAATTGTTATGTTATTAGTGACATTGTTTGCAGTGTTGGAGTAATAGGAACTCTGATATACACTAGTAGGTTCCATGCAAAGACAGGACAGCTGGTGACAGGGAGGGAGGGGAGTAAGATCTAGCAATTTCATCTGAGCTATCCTGTATTTCTTAAAAAAACAAACAAACAAACTTATTTTGTAATTGAAACCATGAAAATCTAGAGAAATTGGCTTTTTTTCTTCAGGAGAAAGATGGCTGACCCAAGAAAATTAATACACACTGCATGATTATTTCATTTAGTAATATCTGCAATGAATATGAGCCTGTCTAGCGGCTTAGGGCTTAAGAGCTTAAGCATGCACTATGTGGTGTATCAAGAAACTATAATCAGCCAAACATTGTTTTAAATACAGAATTGATTAATACCTAAAATCTAGCACTAAAAAGAGAAAAAAACAACCCAAGGCTGCTCTGTTGCAGGAGTAGAAAACTATAATTAAAATTTGTACTTTGTGGCAAGAAAACCACCATTTTGTTCAGGCCTGTTCTTTCGAAATGTTTTCCAGAAACTGAAAAGAATCAGAGTTTTAAAGCAAACAGAAAAACACACACAAAAAAAAACCCTCTGTAAAGTGACACACACACACACAAAAAAAAAATAGCCCGGGAGCTTAGAAAAGGTATTTGTCTCAAGTGGTAAAGAAGTAGCAATTAGCACCAACAGTGAGTCTATGATTTGCAGAGGCAAACTGTATTTAAACACAGCAGGGCTGGTTTGTTGGTATTATAAAAGATTTAAGTAATGAAATAAAATGCAATCAACAAACAGCACATAATTGATGTTGAGGATGCAAAGAACACTCAGGCATCCTTTATCCCTTTTTCTGGGACACTGGGATTCTGCCAGACTCTCAGTGCTCTACCTTTCCCTGAGCAGCTCACTTCTCCAGACAGCTGCAGAACCTGCAGAATGGGCAATGTGCAAGTGGGCATCAGCAGACAGAGAATTTCAGTTCACAGTAGTGACTGCTTTCATCCAAGTTCTGAGACAGCTCTCCATGGCACTGCTACTTTCAAGAGGAGCTTAAAATTCATCAGGATTTGGACTAAGCTTTGCACATCTAATTGGCATGTTAATATATATATATATTATATATATAAATAGATATTTATTTATAATTTATATATATAAATATATAAATAAATTAATCCACATGAGCAATGACCAAGTTCAAGAATATCTTGCTCCGGTCCGTTCATCAGAAGATATAATTTAAAATACTGAAATGTACTGAATAAATTATTTGCTCAGCCTTATTACAATCATTTTTGTATGATGGATGGCCCATTAATTCACTTTTTTTTTTTTTTTTTTTTTTAGAATAGCAAGGGAAATTTGTTTTTAATGGAGAAGCAACAGTATAGCAAGCAATATAATTTTTTTAAAACTAAGTATTTTGTGGAATATCTTACATAGGTGTAGAAATGAGAAATGAAGGAAAGTAAATGAGGGAACCAGTTGTATAAGAGAGAGATGTATCTGGCTGTCAAACTACCTGCTGGCACCAGCAAGTAAAAAATGAAGAAAGAATTCTGGTTTAGAAAACATCCATTAGGATATGCAAACTCTATTCATATTGTTTAAGGAAAGGAAATATATCTGTTGATCTAATAAAAAAGAAAAGAGGACAAAATCAAATCAACGAGGAAGAGATATAATTTGCAGTCCAGTTTGCATGCTGGGAGGGTTACGGTTATTTACCCATTCTTCCAGGATGTGGAAGCAGTCACTCCAGCTAGGCCAGGCTGGACATGGCTCTGGATATCCTGATCTAGCACTAGCTGTCCTCGTTTGTTCCAGGGGAGTTTGACTAAATGGCGTTTAAGGATCCCTTCCAAAAAGATTTTGATTCCATGATTCTGTCTGCTGCCTTGTAGGTGCGGTGGATATTCGCAGGGCAGCACTGTGCTGTGCTTGTGTTTCAGTAAAGTGTAATTGAGAGCTCAGTACATAATTTAGTCTTGTTGTTGGTGACTGTGGATATTCCTGTAACACCTTTTTGTGACAATTATCTTCTGCAGTACAAATGTACACAGAAATCCAGGAGCCTGGTGTGTTTGTAAATTAATCATATTCTTTTTTTTTTTTTTTTTTTTTTTTTTTACCCTCTCTCTCTTTAATTTTGAATATTTATTTCCTAATAAATCCTTTCCTGAAGGAGATTGTATGTAGAAATACAAAAGAGGATCTATATTGAACCAGGCACCTTTCAATGAATCATAAGGATAAAAAGCATCCTCATTAAAGTATGAACAGTTTTGAAAGGTGACAAGATTATTTTTAATGAGATAAATGTAACAAAAGCACTGGAACAAAGCTTATGAGCATGTGACAAAGAACACGGTATTTGAGTTGCTCAGAAAGCTTGATGGGGCTGTGATGTAATGCAAGCTGTGTGGATAAATTGTTACAGGGCTGTGGAATTTATCATGCCTGCACAAGGGGAATGAAACAAACCAGCTTCTTGGGTAGAAAAAAATAAAAACTGTATTTAGTCTCTAGCAAGGGAAGTCCTGTTTGCTGCAGTACTGCAGGTTTATTAATCTCTTTTTTTTTTTTTTTTTTTTTTTTTCCCAAGATTGAATGATTGTATATGTTGATACATGCTCTCTAAAGATCAGTGTTTCAGCAAAATGCAGGCTTTCTTTCTGCAGCATGCTCTTTGCCATCTGATCCAATTCCCCCCACACCCTTCACCAGGGGCTGTCTCCATCTGAAATGGAATTATGCCATCTGCTGGGGTATCAAAGCAGAGTGAAAAATGATTTCCAGAAAGCAGAAAGCAACACGGAAAAAAACCACTGGAGCATTCATTTACTCTTTCACGAAGGCACCCAAGATTACTAAACATTTCTGTTATGTAAAGCCCCCCCCCCCCTCTACTGGAAAAGGGACAAAAATAAAGAAAATAGAGTCAGTCCTAATAAACATATTTGCTCACTGCTTTATAATTTTAAAACATCATTAATTCATTTATTTTTCACTTTAAATATATGACTAAATGCCAATACTCAGCTATCATTTGAAACTACCCTAAATATTTTCAAATATGTACACTTATGATAATTATTTTTGCAAAGAAACAACTTCCTACTTAGTTTCCTCAGCTGAAATCAATCTACTATGGTGTGAGATTTTCAGTAAAAATATTTTCATTATTTATTACTATTTTGTAAGACTGATGAAGCCATTTTTGTAATTGTTTTTAGGAAATACCTGTGTAAACTATGAATTGTTATTCAAATAATAACACTTTCCTTTTTGCTTCTTTCCAGTGCCCATTTATGATTAGTAGCTCTCAACTGCATTCATGTTTTACTATAGTAAACATATTTCCTGTCTTTTCCTTGGAGGGGTAGATGTGAATGGCTCTGTGGCAGTAAAGCTACGATATGATTGTTGCATTCACTCACATGCTTCTCCTGCTTTGAAATTTCAGGAACTGTGGGATTTAATTGTATGTCCTCTTAATAAGAAATCTGTTAGCTCTTTGCATTTCAAGTATAACATTTCTGGTGCTTATATCACACTGCATTTACACTTTTTTCAGTTTATTGGCAGATTTCCAGGTGTTTAATCTCATTCCATACATGTTCACAAGAGATACTTGGATTCAGCTGTTCCCTACAAACCACAAAGTGACTAAGATTGGCTTCATGCCCACCCTCATTAATTATTTCTGTGCTGTGCTAATTTTTCCCTGTATGTAAGGAATGATGCAGAAGAGAGTCTACTTCCCCATGTCAGAAGGCATTCTAGTTCTGCCAAACCCATACACAAATAAAGATGCATTCCCTGATGAGGAAGTATATCAGAATTAGATCATGGCAATGGTAACAGGTTACATTCATGATGGATGAGCATCAGGCTAGTTTAATGACAAAACAGATCTGGTGTAGTAGGTAATTTACTGGGCTTGTCCTAGTTCTGCAATTAATGGGACCATACCTGAAATATGATGCTAAATACTGGATAATCTCAAAGGAAAACAGAGAAAATAGTTTGAAGAATAAAAATTGCATAGCAAACCATTTGAACGATTTAGCAAAGTCTGCACATAGCATTTATCTATCAAAAAGAAAGCAATCACCTCACTGCAGCCCCTGGGCTGGACTGTGCAGATAGGTATTTAAACTAGGAGATGGGGCATTAGCAGGCTGGAGCTTGGAATATTTCCCTGGTTCACAAAACTGAAAGCTCTCCTCTCTTGGCTAAATGTGGCCCTTCTAAGTTGTGTTCTTGATGTCCATCTTTAGATGAAAGGCTCTTAACTGTGACACATCCCTTTGTGGTCAATTGCAGACTGACCACAATCTGATAAAAAGAGGCATCACTCTGTGATCAGAAAGCAGCTGTTGGACTTATTTAACAGCTGCTTTAATTACTCCATTAATTACAGACACTGCACATTAGGCTTCACAGATTCAAAGGGTAGATTAACCTCTGCAAAGTATCTTTTATTCAAATTTCACTTGAGGCAGACATTAATCAAGAGGACATACTTAAGCACTTGAAAATGCTGATAGTCATTTGGAAGTATGGTTTTTAATTTTAAAGACATACTAATGAGACTTTCCACTTTGGGAATAACACAGCTGGCTGACTGAATGTCATCTGAAATATAAATCCTTTGAAATATCAATCTATTATAAGAAACCTGTCAGACTTTTAATTACAGGCTTCCCAAAGCCAGTCAGTGTCGCTGTACAGTACCATTGAATCACTAAGCAGAAGTCACAAGAATGGTTTCACAAGAAATGATCTCTGCCTGCATGAGGGCAAATCAGGGCTTGACCTGCTTAGAGAACTTGCAGTGCTGCAATTATATCTGCAAAGCTGCAAATCTTTAATGTTTCTTCCTTGTGCAGGCAGTGCAAACTCTCCCAAGCCAGTGCAGCATGTTTGAGCCTGAGCTGTGCATAGTTCTCAGCCACAGGCAGAACTGCTGGCCCCTTTCCTGCCTGCTCTGTTCCTTGGAAGATGTGACTGTGGTTGACTCAAAGTAATGGCTAGACTGATCTGTTAAATGCAGCCTGCCCCAGAATCCTCTTGCACCTCTCTGCTCACGGATTCACCAAAGGTGAATTTTAGCAGTCTGGGCTAAATTCAGGGACAAGGAAAGAGAAGAAATGCAATGGCATGAACACGTTACTTATGGCCAATTGTCCTCAGCTGTGAATAAGCATTTATGCTTATTCACACTGAAGAGATGGAAAACTATGCCTTGCCTCGCCTATGCTCTGCTACTAGCTGGCTTCATGACCGTGCCATTCCTTTTGTCCATGACTAGATTTCCTCACCTTTTCTCACTCTTTTCTGAATCACAGATTGAAAGCATCTGAAAGCACTGGTAGTAGTCAGAATTCAGTGTATTTAGTTGTATAACTAATGTGTAAACAGTCAAATACAGCCCTCTAGTTACAGATGGGAAATGAATTAAATTTATTAAAGAAAAAAGGAAAACAAAAAAAAAAGTTTTATATCATCTTTAACACCTTCATTATTTTTTTTTCTCTAAAAATTTATCGTAATTTACTTTCAGAAGGAAATAAGAACTACCTCAGCGCTGCCTTTGCTCAGCTCACAGAGCCCTTAGAGGCCCAGTGTATTCATATTGAATTATTATTATTCATTATTCATTGTTGTGTCTGACTTTAATGTCGCTACAGTATTTTCATTACACTTTTTCTCCTGTTATACATTCAACATATTATATCTTAATTCAATACTCAGCTGCTAGAATACTTGAAATAAATTTTTCTCCTCTCATTTATCTGCATTCTCTGATATGTTGTATATTTGAGTAACTGTAATTTCTGATGTAGTAACTAGACATATTTTTTACTCTGTCAGGAGGCATACTCTGTAAAGTAAAGTGAACACAACCAGAATTTCCAAGCTATGTCACTTTTTATGATGGGGAAATGCAATACAACATTTGGTAACTAACCTCAGACAGTTCTACCACAGCTGCCATTAGATTGTTCCCTCCTTCTAGCTTTCCTGAGGTTGACCTAGTTACAATATACTTAACGTGAATCAAATTTGTACTCAACTTCCTTAAATCTTCAAGATCAAATATTCTAATCATCTCAGGCTTTTCATGCTGACCTTTTTCTTCTTCTTACTAATAGGGTGCTGAGAAAATTATGCTAATGAATGAATCTGGGGAACTGCAGGATCTCTTAACCAAAATTGAGGTAATTGTATTTCTGAAATTAATCATAGGGAACATACACTGAATATTTACAATTGAAAATGCTTTTCTCAGCTGATTACTTTTCTTCTGTTACAAACTGATGATTCCAAATTGAAATTGATTAGCTAACCAGAAACACTCAAACAAATGTGTACACGCAATTAATACATGTGGAATTATTGTTGTCTGAGAGGATAGCTAGTACCTCTCCCCAGCATTTTTTGTTAGTTTGGAATAATTGTCCCTGTATGCTGTCTGTAGGGAGGCCCTGTGACATTAGTTCCAAACTCAGTGTAGGTCCTAATATTCACACAGCGAATACAATTAAAAGACAAAAGATGCCAGGCTACAGTAGGCTATGATAACTGCTTACTGAATACAGTAACTACTTTGAATACGTAGTTACCTGCTGGGTTTTATTACAAAAAATGGTTTTGCTACAGTTACAAGGGACAGTCATGTTTCTTCATTACTGAAGGAACAGAGAGTGGTTATAGAAACAATGTGTTCCAGAGAGAAAAAGTGATTTTTTGAGCCACTAGGATAAAATGTTTCTTTCTTAGCTCTCAAACTCAGCTTTCTGCATGGAAAGGTTGTTACTTACAAACATAACAAGTAATAATGAATTTAATTATTGAAATACTAATATTGTATTAAAATTTTAAAATTAATTGCAATGATGAAAGACAAGGGCACACCTGAGATAAAAGTAATTGATAGATTTGCACTAAATTTTTCTAAGCCTTGCTTCTAGAGTAAAACAAGTCATTTGTCCAGTAAAGAAGAATGGAGGAAAAAACAAACTAACTAACTGAAAAACCCCTTCCAATACTCCATGCTACTGCATTTCTAGTTGATTTGTCCCCCATAAAAAATTCCCATATAACTGATTTTTGCTTGATAGATGTATATATTGCATAATCTATTAGTCTTCCTATGACTTCTCCTTATCTATAACAATAATCTAACAGGCCAATAAAACACATGGCAAGAAAGAATGATGTAAGTATTTTGCATATCTAGTAAGACCATAATACACTGCTTTAGATAAATTTGCACAATAGCTGCTGAGTATGAGACAGAGAACTGTTGTATCAATAGTATTGTCAGGTGAAGTAAGAACGTACTTCTACATTGCAGTATGAGTTTGGAGCAGAATAATATTCCACCACTAAGCAATCACTTAAATTAGCAATACTTTCATCAAGTATAGCTTAAACATGCCTTCAAAATCCCTTTCTGTGTTCTCTGCCAAATAAATAAATAAGTGAAATGAGAAAAAACATTGTTTTACTCATGAATTAGGACATCTGAGCAAACCTAAGGCTTGCGTGCAACAATTTTCTCCAAGTATAACATGAGTAATGATGATCTTTCTCTTTTCCACATAAAGCTTCAGTGTTCTAAACCCATAAACATGAAAACACCACTTATTTCCTAAAGCACTGCTTGTCAGAAGCTAGGATTTTTTTTTTTTTTAATTTTTATTTATTTATTTATTTGTATGATCAGCTCTAACTTTAATAGGAGCATACTCAGCATAAGAATACAGGTGATGAAAGTCATAATATGTTAACATACATTGATATAAAAACCAATCAATTCCAGTACCTAGTAGAATTGATGACTGCAAGAGAACAATGTACGTATTCTTTCATTTTGCTAGCTATTTTGGCAACTATGAACATGAGTTACCGAGGTATAATGTGACTGACAGATCTGCAGTGAGCCTCTCTAGCTACTGCATGCATGTCTCTACAAAGGAAAAGGCAGACATACTGTTCTTCTGTGGTGTCATAACTTAGGATGGGGAAATGGAAGTTTCTCAAGATGGGAACAAAAATGTGTGTCTGAGAAGCTGTCCCAGAGGCCTCTTTTTCCAAGAGCTTATGATGGTTGATAAAGTAACATTTTGATCTTTCTCGCTTTCTTCCTTGAGCAGAGAGTCCATCCTCACGAGTGCCTCTCATGTGGGGGCTTCGGTTTCCTTCCGTGCTCAGTGTGCCATGGGAGCAAGATGTCTGTGTTTCGAAACTGCTTTACGGACTCATTCAAAGCCCTGAAGTGCACAGCTTGCAATGAGAATGGGCTACAGCGCTGCAGAAGCTGTGCAGGTTAAAAAGGGCATCTCCACATGTGCAACTCAATTTTATTGTACTGCAGCAGTTTGTAATATGATTTTTTTTAAAAAAAGAATTTATCTGTTTATCTAATTCAGTCAATAAAAATCAATTTATAGTATGCTTCTGCTGGTTTGGTCATTGGAACACTTTCAACCTGTGCCTGCCTATATAATGAACTCTGTGGTGTTTGTTTCTACATTGATAGATACATTTGTTGTCTACCAAACTTACTGTGCTTACATTTGAGTATGAAGTATTCCCTTCTTCTGTGGGTAATCATCAGCTACACCAAACAAATGAGAAGATAACATAGCATTATATATCACATGGAAATTTCTGATATTCAACTTAGCAACAGTTATGGATCAAGGTCTGGTCTAGTGTAACTGTTTTAGAGCATTTGTTCTTTCCAACAGGGTCTGTGGTCAGACAACTCTATCACTGCATAGAACTTCATCATTTTTGGATGATTTCCCCAACAGGAACACAAAAGAATTAGGAACAAATTAGGAACAAAGTAGAACAAAACAATTTCCTCCACTTTTCATAGAGTCATAGAATCACCAAGGTTGGAAAAGACCTCCAAGATCATCCAGTCCTCATATGATGAATATTTCCCACTAAAGCATGTCCCTCAATACAACATCTAAACATTTCTTGAACAATTCCAGAGATAGTGACTATACCACCCCCCCGGACAGCCTGTTCCAGCACCAGATCAGGGAAGTTTTCCTAATGTTCAACCTCCCCTAGCAAAACTTGAGGTCATTTTCTCTTGACCTTTACCAGTTACATGGGAGAAGGGGATGATCCCCATCTCGCCTCAACCTTTCTGCAGGTAGTTGTAGGGAGTAATAAGGTCTACCCTGAACCTCCTCTTGTCCAGACTAAATAATCCCAGTTCCCTCAGCAGCTCCTTATGCTGCTCTGGACCCCTCCAAATCCACCTTCATACCACTTGCTATAACCAGATGTGGTTGTTGGTGCTAAGAGTTGGACTAACATATGTTTTTGAAAATTTGAATATAAAGGACTAACATGTATTCTATGAGCTACTAATTGTGCAGGCTTGAAAATGCTGTAAGATCCTACTGGTCCTACAGCTTCTACAGTGAGGATCAGAATGAATGTCTTGGTTTTTTACATAACATGAGAGAGATTATATTTTCTATGGACGACATCCACAAATCTTAGAAGCACCTCAGCGATAAAACTGAATTGCAGATGTGTTTAAATTATAAGTGTACGGGAAAGGAATAAAAAACCAGAAAATATGATTCCCTTCTAATATCAATTTGTAACTTCAATTTCTGGCTAATAGTGCAGCCCAAAATGGTGTGACTAAGGAATGAAATGTAGCATAAAGCAGAATAGTGATGTTTAGAATCATCATTTCTGTTACATGAAAGCTATTTCTTAAGCTAGTAATATACTATGGCTGTAATGGCTAAGTGTATTCTCAGCAGTGAATACTACACTTCATGTGGCATAAGCAAACATGTTTTTGAAATTAATTTTCAAGAAAATAACAGTGTATTTGTAATTCTGTAATTTCAGTCTCCACCCCAGAAAAGACGTATTGCATGATGAGATAGCTCATATCACTGTTCTTCCACTGAAGCATTACAAGAAAGTATTACTGTAACTGGTCAGAGCATATCAAATACTTTCAGTGAAACCACGTTCTTAATTAATCTGGAATAAGGGTTTGAAGATGTTTTTCCAATGTTCTAAGTGATAAGAAAAATCATCTTCTTAAGAATTAGATGAATACACTAAATCTAGTTTATTCCATGAATTACTGCTAAGGGCCAGGCAAGAAACACAGAGAAACTACCCTAGCCTTGACACAGCCCTTCTAGAAGAGATATTTCACTCCTGTAAGTTCCTACTATGGTGAAGCCTCCTCATTTTTCTATTTTGAAGAAGAAATTATAAAATCAAGAGTTAAAGCACATATATTTTTTTTTTTTCTCCAGAGAACTTTTAAGGAAAATTAGAAGATAACATAATAAAAACACAGAGCAAATTATATTCAAAAATAGAGCATTCCCAGGCACTTTATCTTTCAAGAAACCAATGACAAATTTTTAGTGGCCCTTTCTCTTCAGCTGTGTTTTCATTATAACACTGTGGAAAAAAAAAATAATAATAATAATAGTTGTTGCAGGAAGATGTTTTTACTTGGTGGTTTGCTGTTTTTCCTAGAGTTTTGGGTCTGGCTTCTTCAATTAGCCTGGAAGAACATGATACAATGGAATGACAAGATGACCAAAGTAAACCCAGGAGCCAGAAACAATATTAATAGCAAAAGTTAAGGGAATAGCACTTCCTGTTGTAAGGCATCTGACATCCAGAAACATGACTTCTAAGCTAGTATGAGGTAGGAGGAGGAGTGCATTTCTGTTCTGATTTAAATATGCATAGCTTTGTTACATCCAAAGTTTTGAACAAATGGAGTCAAACTGAGGAAACTTAGAAAGAAATAAAAAGGGTGTTTCAAAGAGAGGGAAAACAAAACAGAGCAAACAAAATAAAAAGTACTGAATGCTATAGATGACATTACGTGGCTAATTTGTGGAAAGGGAACAATTGTCCATTGGACATCAAAGAAAGAAATATCTGGACTACTTTTTACAACAAAACCTAATGCTGATGTGGTAGGGACTAGGAACTGAAGCCATATGTGACATAAGGTCTCTGCCAATGCCTATTCAGTGTCGACACACATTCACTCATGAGCATTCTGACTTGTCTGAGATGAACAATTAGTCTGAGAACTTACGTGATAATTTGGTGACCAGACAGTGATTTGGAACTTCTTTCAACTTTTCTCCTTATTTGCCTGATGTTGGGCTTCAGGGCTGCAACAGCAGATTTTCACCCACAGGCTTTGACCTACTATCTTACTCTTCTCATTAATCATAATGATCTGATAATTTTTAAGAATGGAATGAATGTTCTTTAAGCATTGGCCGTGTCATACTGAGGAAGAAATTCATATTTTAAATTTCAACAGATGACTGCACGTTGAACAAACCTCTATGTAATGTCATTCTATGTAGACTCAGGATGGATTTAATTACAGTAATGTGTAAGTAAATTAGTCACTCTAAGTGATAGGATCACTTACGCAGAATTTAAAATCTCCTCACTTCATTTTCTTTATGTTGACATGCTTCATAGTGATCATTTCTCACTTGCACTACAAGAGCCTAGGAATTCCCAATTTTATTTAATATATCATATTTAATACATATTTGCATTTTTACTATGTTGCAGAGAAACTTTTTTCTCTATTTAAATAAAATCACAATGAGCATTTTTTTGCTGTGGAAAAAATCCATCAATTTTAAAATAAGAAATACTGTTTCTGAGAGTCAATTTACGTTCAATCACTGGTTATTTCCTTGATGCACCATTTCTGAAGATACATAGACTTTTACCTGCCAGCCATCTACTCTAACAACTTATTTTATATTTATTCTCAATTAGAAGATTTTCTGTGGCAACTTTGCATGGACATGATTGTGCTTTTAATTCCTATCTAAAAGAGTATTAGACATGGAGCTAACATTTTTTCCTATTTCTAACATTTACTAATTCCAAATACACTCCTCTCAAATTTAGAATGATTATATTGACTTGTTTGATTGGGACTACCCCATGTTATCTTCACTAACGAAGCACTGTGAATGTCTGACTTACCAAATTAACTTTACTATAGCGCATAGCATATTTGTATCTTTTAAAATAATGAATGTGCCTTGAGATTTTCACTCTGAGTAAATTTGCAGGAATTCATAGTTATGATTGAAAAGAATGTGACAGGTCTTGAAACACGAGAAATTTGTTCTGTTACAAGTAAACTTGTATTTCAATGAAACACTAGTTTTGACCTCTGTGTCATATGAAAAGGTAATTAAATTCTTGAGACATTTGGGTTTTTATTCATGAAAACAGGGAAATAATTTTACTGAGCTGAGTTTTACAGTTTTCATGTGAATATTTATAATGGTGGACTCTGGTTATTTTTTCTACCTACTGCCTTTGTATTGTATTACATTTAATTTTATACACTTCACTTAGTCTTAGATACATTATTTGACCACAAAAGCACTTGACAGGAAACATTCATGCCCTAAATAATTTAGGAAGGAGAAGAATTTAGTCTGCATATCTTAATTTAAATAATTTAGAGATTATTGTAATGGTCATTGTAAGCCAACAATGATTTGAAAAGTAGAAGTTATTAGAAATAAATTATTATATTTAATCCTGTTTCTCTTCCTTCTAGTGTTAATTTGCTAAGGGGAGATGAATTAGGAAATAACTGCATTAGAAGGAAAGAGCTGTAAAAAAAAAACAAACAAAAAAACCCAAAAAACCTAAAAAAAAGCCTTGCAGCTTAAGCTTCTTCTAACTTATCTACTCTGCTCTGAAAAATGGCTTTAAAATAAGCTCAAAAGATTTATGAAATCCAGTAAGTTCACTGTTCAAGAGGAGCCACACTCCAATAAGACATATACTACCTGCCTTGTGTCTCTCTTTGAGGCCTCATTTTTTCCACTGATAGGAGGATTCTCTTTTTTTTTTTTTTTTGAGAACAATTCGACATCAAGCACAAGACATTATAGATTACTGTCCTGAAATTTGAAAAAATACAAATATTTTTCAAGATAATATCCTCTAGTAGCCAAAAAAGGGCTATATTCTGATGTGGAGAAAAATGAAATCTGATTTTATTTCTCAAAACACACAAGGATATATGATCCCATAGAAGAGCTGACTACAGTTGTTATTTTTATTATAGATAATGATCTGTTCAAATTAACAAATGAGGATCAGTAAAAAATCTTAAAAAAACACTATTTAATTGCTAAGATTACCACTTAGAATTTACTCATTAAATTTATAGTATTACATCTGGTAGATGAATCTCTTGCCTGTTAGATACAGGAGGAATTTCTTCTTTAAGACAGAGTCTCACAATGGTCATTTGTGCATTAATTTTCCC